TTTTTTTTTTTTTCTTACGCGAAAGCGAGGCTCTACCATGGTGCCTACTCATCAGTGGATGGAATCTTCAGTACTTGTCTTGTGTTCAATGTACGTAACTTTTATTTCTGGCGCAAACTATACCCGACGAAAGGATTATTAAAGAGTTTCGAAGATTTCAAGGTTCTCCACACAACATGGACATTGTGAAAGAAGTGGAAAGCGCTTTGGAAGAGGAGGGCTACGTAAAAATTGACTCTACTTCGCCAAACGCAACGTCTAACGTTTCGTCTTCTGTTTCTTCTACGGACAAAACATCGAGTTTATCAGCCGTGACCTCAACTCCTTCGCAGCCTGTAGATCGACTAACAGCAAGCCCTGTTCAGCAAAAAATAAGGCCGGACCTTTCTTCTTCCATTCTTTCGGAAAATACGTCGAGTAGTAAAAGTTCAGCGAATGTTTCTTCGAGTTCATCGTCATCAACGTGGCAAAGACAGAATTCTGGTCAAGACAGCGACGAGGAACAAAGTGGAGGAGTTTGGGGCTGGATGTCCAGTGCTGTGTCGGTTGGGTTACAAACTACGCAAAACATCGGTAGAAATATTGTAGAGAAGACCAAGGTATTGGGCATAAACTTTTCTTCTGCGTTTATCTTAGGGTCTGTAAGTTTTAGTTACTATGTAAATAGAAGCTTATAGGCTCAAGCCCGATTAAGCTTGGGNGTTCTCGGCAGGTGTGAAGGGTGCACAGCACAGAATAGCAAACCTAATGAGAGGGAAAAAGGTTCAAGAGGGACAGGTGATCATTGGAGTGGAGGAAATGGTGTCAGAACTGCTACCTGGCAAGTAAGTTACAGGGTACTACATGTACTTCTCAAACTCTTTAAAAAATTCATCAAGTTTAAACAAAGGAAATCATGACCGCGATGGTGTTTGGATTTCTAATCTTAATAAGCATAGATTTTTACAGTAACATTATATTTCTCTGTTTTCTCCTTAGTTTTATTGTCAATTGAGAAGATATATCAAACTTGAAAGACCATGTTTGACCACATTTCCAAACACCTCAAAGTTCGTCAAAAATACTGCGCTATGCATCATATTTTCAACTCTCTTCGCGGTGTGTGGAAATGTGGTCAAACACAGTGTGTTTGATATATTAATTGTCAGTCATGGGAATTGGAAAACCCTGATGGGTCGGCAGTTCTAGTGCCCATTGACTCTGAAAGAATGTATATGTACATTTTTATCTGTGGCACAGGGTATTCAGGCAATACTCCTCATGCATGGGATGCTAAGGATGTTTGCTTGATTGAATGCATTTCTTATTTGAAGGTGGAGTTTTCTTTTTCAACATATTTTGGCTTATATTTGAAAAGAGGTCTAAATGAGTTTACTTTTGCTCAAGAATGTGGTATGATGCAGTTATGAACTGAACATCAGAGGTCTCTCACTCTGAGCATACTGTGATGCCATGAAATACATTTAGATGTAGTCAATAATGGAGAATTATAATCAAAAAGTCTTATACAATGCCATGTATTTTATGACTGTTCCAAAATATGCAAAGCTCCCCTAATATTTTCAGAGATTTTTCAAAGAATGAAATTCATTTCATGCATGCAAGTGCTTAATATTATTTTCAAATTATGCATCAAATCATGTGATTAAGTACTGCACATGTGCTTATTTACTCTTCAGGTGGTTTAGTTTGACCTGTCTTGCACTGAATGACCCGACATCAAAGTTAGAGCTTGAAACATTTTCCCAAGCAATTCACATCCCTAAAGTGTACATCACCAAGGCAGAAGAAAGCACACCATCCAATTATAACCTGAGGTGGTCAGGTCTGTCATTTACTCTTGGAGAAGTTATCATAGGATCTGGACAGGCACATGGTGATTGGCATTCTAAAATTTCAGGTACACAGTACATGCAGGTCTAAATTGTATACAATGTAACTGTTGCAAATGAACCTTAGGATATAGGTACATCAAGATGGGATATTGCCAGTAGAACTGCAAGCACAAGGGATGATAAAATAATTTCAGCCCAGGTGTCAAATTGTGATTACTAACTTCAGGGAAATGTTTGAACCTACATTTATGGAACGTTAAACAGAAATATAATTTGTAGTAGCCCAAATTGTAACAAAAAGCAAACTTTAGGCAATGTTTTTTTTTTTTTTTGCATAGAATCAACCCATATGAACAGTACCCCCCTTAGAGGGCAAGGGCCTACAGCCATTGGTGTCTTCTACTTCAGTTATCCTGCCTATACTAGGGTTGAATTTTTCTTGAAATCTATTACTTTAATTGAACTAATCTGTGTAACTGAAGTCAAGAAAATCCCAGCTCACAATCAAGAATAAGTGAAGTCCGTACTTACGACAGGCCATTGTGGCTCACACGTAGAAAAAAAAATATTTGGATGACATAGCGGTAAAGATTTCCCAGTTTTGTCTCTGGCTGGGTGTACTTTTTGTCATGACCTTAGGGAAACAGCAATCAGCTGAGGTCTCAAACATTGCTGATGTTTCTTTTTCGTTCATCAAATTAGTGTAACAACATCACATGAGAGATCTGTTTTTGTTTTTGTTTTTGTTTTTTTACCAACCACAACCTACATGTACATAGATGTGTTTGGTGTTCCAGCAATTTAGCCTTATTTCATGTTTTGATTTTCTTGTTTCTTCAAGGTTCTTCTAAAAGACAAATTCTAACACTGGCAGCACGGACATTAGCAGGGCAGTTTAGAGACAGGTTAAAAGCTAGTGCTGACTCGCTGTTGGAAAATGCATTGGTTATGTAGCAGATTTAAAATAATTCTCATACATGTATTTAAAAAAACTTCTAAATATGCTTTTAATATTATGTATAAGTTTTGAAAGGTTGTAGCTAGCGTAGACCACCTAGCAAGTCCTTTTCAGGATGGATGACTACAATTACTCAGTTCTTTACCCTTTCAAAAGTTTTACAAATAAATTATTATCAAGCACATTCATGATACAGGTAAATGCATGCAAGGGGCCATTGCTTGGGTGATGCGCTTTCTTAACCTCGCGATTTGTTCATTCATTAAGTCACCCCCATGCAAAAAAGATACTATGGCTTTAGCCAATCAAAACTAGGAAAAGTTTTTTTTTTCTTTCCCACACGAATAGCCTTCCACAAAACCATAACTCTTGTTGGAGATTGCCCTCTGATTGATTTGTTTTGTTGTTAGTAGCAGTACTAGTTATATACTGTGACAAGTTTGATTTGTAAAACATTTCGTTTGACTGTAACTATTAGACAACAACGTGCCACTGGAAAAGAAATATTCTGCATGAATGGGCATACCTGTTGCTTTGTTTATGGTGTTTTCACTTTGCTAATATGGTCTCCCACTTCAGTCACCTTCCAGCTTGAGAGTTAAAGTTCAATTTAGTTCAATGACATTGTCTAGGAGATACACGCGAAATGGTGCAAACACAAACAGTTGAGTAATTTTCTTCATATGCACATTAACAGCCAGAATGGTAAATCCCAATTTATTTCTTTTTATTTTATTTTGGGAAAATCTCAAAATTTCAACTTTCCCCTCCGGTTATGTTACATAATTTTAGTTTCCAGAATTTTGTGAAACATCACATCAGTGTTACATTTTCTTTAGAGCAGTTCCTAATAAGGAGAGAGCCTTGTTTGATGTTGAAAAGTGTGCGACATCAAAGGGCAGTCTTGAACAGTACATTTTGCTTGTTTTGCTCCCTAAACCAACCAAAAGCTGGGTGCAATCTCTGTTCCCTAAACCAGTCATACAATGAATTGTATTCTTTCAGTCAATTATTTCGAAGTAAAAAATAGAGCAATTATTGCTTTATTTTTCTGTCATTCTCTTGATACTGTGTGGAGACATGATAATAAGCTTAATATGTTGAATACTAGATCGGCAAGCAAGAGGTTTTGTCTCGAGCAGTGTTCATACATTGTAGTATTGTTATGATTGAGTTAACACATGCACTTGTAATAAGGTACTGCCTGGATTCCATGCATGCATGCGTTTATTTTATTCAAGTACATGTAGTCCAATCACTTTTCATCAGTTAAAAACAGGATGACAGGGAGTGATCTTCCCTACAATCTCTAACTCTTTTAGACGCTTTGTAGGGTAGGTAGATGCCTTGTTTAATATTTAATATTATTACATGTAATATTATTAGAAATTGTAATTTAAATGTGTATAAATGCAAAGTTTATTGTACAGTAATTATTAATCTTGTGGTACAATACCATACCATAACATAAAATACAGTCAAACCTCTCCTTTAAGATACTTCCATGATACAGACACCTCTGTAGTAAGGGCACTTAGATCTGCCCCCTGGGTGTCCCTAGTCCAGATTTAAGAGGTGCAACTGTCATCAGAAATTGCTTGCAAACAGGAATTATGAGGGAGTAGATTGGGAACAGGAAAATATAGAACAAAAGAAAAACAACAAATGCATTCTCTTACTTCAGACTCTTGGTGACAAGGCATGTGGTGTATCAGTTGTGACATTGTATTACATTCAGTTATACATAAGCCGAACATTACACTTTGTCGTATGCAGTATACCATCATATAGTATGTAAGTAAAAGAAAGGTTGCTATCTACAGCTGCTGACTGAGATTAATTATTTGTGGATCATTCATATTTCAGTCAATGGTCGCTATAATATCTAATGGGAACTCACTAAACCTAGCTCTTCACATCTGTCAGAGGCTTCTCTGGGCTTCCTTGCCTATACTATACACTGATGTGACATTTTTATATTTATAAATGGCAAAAAATAAACAAATAAACAATAAATGGTCCTCACACAATCTTTCTGGGGAAGGGCATTATGCTGACAAATCCAAGCATCTACACAAAACCTGGAATTTCATCAGCTAAGAGGAATAATAACTATATTGACAAAGTAGTATGTAAGTCATTTATTAGTGGAAGTCAGGACAGTAGTTAAT